TATATTTTTTTTTAGTATAAATATTTGCTGTAAAAATTATATATCACTTTTACAGACTTTAAGCTCTGTACGGAAATCTCTCTAGCCAAACATCTTTATCTTAAAAGCACACCACAGCAGTTTCTAATTGAACATACCAATTGAAGAAATACCAAAATTTAACTTCTAGTTAATGACATTGCTATTTTTAAAAATAAAGGACATACAACTAATCCACACAACATGTACAATAATGTGGACGTTGCACCCAAGCTGGTCTACTATACTACTTTACTAGGCAATGCAGGGCAACAGGACCTTTCTGAGGTTCAGTTCATCTCATTCTGAAGTGAAAGTCTCAAAATAAATCGGATGGCTTGTGTCCTGAAAGTCTCCTCTCCACTGGCTACAGAGGACATCTAGGGTAACTATTTCAGATGGAGAAACCTGAACTTGGGGAGTTGGATTCATCTTTGCAGTATCCTGTATAATGACATCCACTTATTGCTTGGACATTGTTAACACTAAAATACCCAAGGAAAATAAAAGTAGCATGGAAATAATATGAGCTTGTCCAAAAACCCACTTATTTGACATAAAAATAAAACCTGCGGTACCTTGAACATGAGCTTAGCAGCTTCAAAGAAATAATTGGCTTTACGATAGAGTTCTATAGCATCAAGGATTTTATTCTTTTCCAGTAAATGACTTGCATATCTGGCTAACAATGATCCAATCTCTTTCATGTTGTGATTTTTAGCCAGCTCCACAGCTTTATTCCACTAGAAATGAAAGCAGACAATTATCAACGTCATTTTTTCAAATATATTCACAGAACAAGCTCATTATCCGTGAATAGTCTGCAACATTTGTGTGCAATATTTGATCATCATTTAGAACAAGGCTACTATAAAATTAAAGTAAAAAGCAAGAGAATACAAATGCTAACATCATTGCCAATCACATGATACAGCAAGCCTGTGAAACAAATGCTGGATCTTTGTCCAAAACCACACACAAACCAATTGCTTCTGCTTTGGTAAAAGCTTTGCAAAATCACTTAATTGCTGCTCATAGCTGGACACATATTTCAACACTTCTGATAATACTAAAGCCCAGACTGTCGAAAGAGAGGATTTCAGCCCATAAGCTCAAGGCACAAACAATGACACTTTACTTACCCTTCTACACACCTCATTTTGTCTGTGAATTTTCCTGATCTTCAACATTTTGCCTACTGTTTTTCAGATCAATTAATTTCCAGCTACATCCTAACACAGCCACAAATATATTTGCATCTTTACAAGGAAGGAGGGGGGTGTGGAAAATGAGTAGCCAGAAGCTCACCAGTCTTCATCCCATTTATCAGTGGGCAGCACAGCCTGGCTCTAGAAAGGCCACAAATGTCTGAACGCTGAGCACACTTACCACGCACATGCAGAAGGATCACTGCTGCATATGGCTTTGTCCCTCCAATAGTCTAGTCCTGATTTCAGATAACTGACTTGTGCACTGAAGTATGAATTTCTCAGAAATCAAAACGCATCATTAGACACTTAACAAGGACTTGTACTTAACTGGGCATTAGGATAGAAATCTCACTGTTACACTGGTATCAGTAGAGCAGGTTATCTATGGCTTTTTTACCTGGTTAAGATGTACACAGGTGTCTACCGCATCCTTTGGTCGATTACATTTCAGGAAGGCCGACACAGCTTGTTCACACATCCCCACTCTTACAAACATATAAGCTATATCCTGCAAAAAGCATCAGCACCATGTTAAATTCACTTTGAGGTTTTTGGTACATTGCATAGCAATGGCAATACTATTATATTCTTGTTTAATTTAATTCCAGGAAGTTGGGGGAAAGAGGTTGTTTGCTTCATGGATTCTATGAAGACAACACGCAGTGTTACACATCTTTAGAACAGTATGCTACTGTCACACACTGCTTCTAAATTTAAAAAAAAAAAAAGCTATTAAAAAAAAAGCTATTTAAAAAAATTATTTCAAATCAAAACATACCAGAAGGACTGTGTTCTTACTTTTTACAGTATTTTACAAAGCTTTGCTATTAGAAAGAGATTAAAAAGAAAGTGCCATGTCTTGCTTTGTTCAAACAACTGAAAATGGCACCAACTGAGCATGTTTTGCATTTTTCAAGCATTTGAGTAATCATATAATAGCTTTCAATCAGCTATTACTCAGTAGGTCATTTTAGGCTATACCACCAACTTCCCATCCTTTCAGCAGAGTGTCTCCAATTTTCATTGTACATTAGTATTCCCACCAGAACTATCATGTAAGATGTTAAAGGGGTAGCAACCAGGAAGAATTTGGGCCAAAAACCACCGCAGACTAGACAACAAAGTGAAAGCTAAAGTAAGCGTCCAGCCACAAGGAGTGACTTCTCAGTGAAGTACAGCTGTTTTAGGGAGAAATGCCATGGTCTGGGGGGGGAAGCACTGAATTATGACTTAGCTATGTGGCCATAAAGCATGATGAATAATCAGGTCTTTCTAGGGAACCTGGACAATAAGTGAAAGGAAGAATGATGGAGTAATGAAAACAACAGTAATGCTGGAGATCAATACCAAAGTAACACCTTTATGTTTAAGGGAGTAGGTCATACACTGTGTTCTTTTGCTCCTTCTTTCTTAACCCTCCCAAGATGGGAAATTTTAAATAAATAGTTGAGCATAAAACAATGAAAAATAAAGGTGCGTTTTGCTTACAGGGAGCAATTTATTATTCTCTGGAAGTGAGTTAGCTAGATTCTCCAGTCCTTGGTAGTCCTCTAACATGTAGTAACATTCAGCTAAACGTTCCTGGTTTCGTCCTTGTACATAATATTGTACAGCACTTAACCTAATAAGAAAAAAAAAAAAAGTGGTGGCTTCTGATATACAAACACAAGTGAAACTTCTAATTGTATAAGCCTTTTGCATTTGTAAATTTAAAATTACATTATTTGAAATAGGTAACTTCGCTTGAGAGAGCTTTTGTAGCTAGAATTTCACCCTCTTTCTAAAATGCACTAGAAGTTTTAATTTTCAGTGATCATTGCATTTAAATAGTAGGAAGATTGATTCTCTGACTAGCATAAGGTTAGGAAGTCAAGGAATCTTATAACTGTATTCCCACATCTGCACAGATCATGGTTGATAATGGACAACAACTTGCAACTAAACTTTCATGAAAGGGCTTTACTGTTGTGCCTCCAACAGAAGCACTACGATGTCCAAGACCATTCTCCATAGTTACCTAAAGCGTCTGAAAATCAGCTTCCAGAATCTAATCACAAGTTTTCAACTGCTTTGGGACCCACGTTCTTTGTGATAATATAGTTTGAGTAATTGCAATACATAGTGGAGCTGTGGAACTCTATGAGACAGGGTGCTCTGGATGCTAAAAGTCTACATGGGTTTAGAAGGCAACAAGAAAAGTTCATGAAAGAAAATTTTTTCTGCAAGTTATTAACTATGAAGACATCATTTCTGGCTCAGTAAGTACCCAACTACAAAATGTGTTCTGGAGAAATACTATTACATCCGTGCACTGTTCTTAAAATCTTCCTTGGCTGCCCAGTTTTGGCAGTAACTGGAGACAAATCCAGGTCAGAGAGAACTCTGGACCTTTTAAATTATTTGTGAATTTAAGCATTCTAGAAAGTTTTGAAATTCACTGATGTTTAATAATTCTCTCTTTTCTTTTTTTTTTTAACTGATTTTTTAAAATACTTTCTGTTTCCAACCTATGCAACTGTATAGGTATTTCTCTACCCAGCCCCCCCTTTGAAGCAAACAGACTTTTGGCAAAACTGAGATTTTTATCACCTTCATTCTTTAGACAGCTGATCAACAGCTCTCTGTTTAAAGGTACGTGCAGCGATGGAACCATAAAGGTCTGAGCTAAATCTCATCATTCCAGAATTATCTCATGTATTGCATCCTGACTTTCCTCATGTCTCTCCCTCCTTATAAATTAAGTCTTGTACATCAGTTTTATAATTTCCTTTGCAATTTCCTTCTTACTAGTTCCTCTACAGAACATACCATTTCTGACGGTCTGCAAAATAATCTCCAATAGCATTGTATGCTTGTTCAAGAAGGGTATCATCTGAATCACCTGAGCCAGTTTTTAATAGCTGCAATACTCGAAACCAATCTCCCAGTTTTATCCGTAGTCCAATGGCAAGGTCTCTAGTATATAAACAGAAAACAGCAGAAAAAAGTCAAAGACTATAAAATAGCTAACAAAAATCTTGAAAAAAGCTTCCAAAAGTGTTTTCACGTTCATAACCTGCATCACAGGTATCACAATGATCCCAGATACTTTGTTTACAATTTAAACAGTATTCCATAAAAGCAAATACTCAGAGAGCTCACAGGCTATATCATACATATGCACTTCCCTATTAGCCATACTCCTGTGTGAGGAGTTAAATGCGCAGCTGGCGGGACAGTTGGGCTGATACAACTTCAGGTTTCCTCTTATTCTGTATACCGTTCTTCATCTTTCACTGCTGAACACTGCAATGGATAGCCTTTTGCAGCTGCTGCCAAAAGCAGAAGGGAGATGAGGGGAAAGACCAAGGAGCAAAGAATATGAATAACGGAGGCTAAAGCTGAGATGTAATAAAATGGATTTAAGAGACTTGTCTCAGATTCAAGATGACTTTGGATGAAGGAGAAAGGACTCAGAAGTAGTCTGTCCTTTTTATTATTCATGCATAAGTATGATCCACCATGTGTCTGTCTGGCACCTTTTCCTACCATATAGAAAAATTCTGTATTAATATAGAAGTAATTCTGTGGGTGTATAGAAAATAAATTGGAGAGATATATACCCTTCTTTTAAAAATGCCTAAAGTGAGTTAAAGAAGGCAATAGCAAGTCAGTGCAGTTAGCTAAATAAGAGCATCTATCTAAAATTTTTAAAATTGTATTTGAAAACTAGATTTATTTCAGCCTGATTTATGGTATGTCCTTATGATGATTTTTCTAGTGGTGAGGAGACAAAAGGTCAATACAGAATTCCCATATTCTTGTAGCTGGAGAATAAGATGCTCTACTGTTCAAGAAAACAGTAAAAAAAAGTAAGTCTTTGACTTCTGCAATCCTATAATGGCCACATTTCTCTTCAGCCATGTGGAAAGGAATATGTTATACTTAAAAATCAGTGTTGCAGTGCGACTGAAGTGCTTGTGAGGCAGCCCACCTCTCCAAAGCAGCATACTTCCATGGGCTAATTAATTACATGCAAGAAAGTTTTCCATTACCAGGTTCAAAGATGCATCTTTCCCCAGCTCCTGCCTTCCCCTGCCCCCTTCTTACTGGGGAAGAGGAAGGTTTCTCATTCTTACAGCATGACAGAAGAAATAAGTTTTTCTCCATCATTCCATACTGTTTTTCATGGCTCCACTAATCAAAGCTTAAAAATTTCACATGTGCATAAGTGATTCATGCTTCTCCATGTTTTGACCACCACCTACAGGCTACATCATACAACTGCTGCTTATTATTTCACATTATCCTTTTTCAGTAAAGACAATGCTCTAGCTAATTATTTAGCTTTCATTTATATTTCCCAGTTATATTGTAAGTTTGCTTTGTTTGTTTTCATTCTTGAGCAAAAATTCCATTGGTTGGTCCACAATTTTGTTCAGAGTCCTTTCTGTCTCTCCAGAGATTACAGTTCATTAAAAACTCTGTTGTTTGTATATGTAATTGGAAAGAATGTGTACTTGGCCACTAGCTAAGAGCAACAGTACATAAATTAAACATCAGTTAAGATTGTGTGTTTGTATTTTTGGAATCCCAGTTGAAATACTGACAAAATACTTGCAAAAATATCTATGAAACACTGAACACTAGAAACACTACCTAGAGCAGCTGAGGTTTTGCAAGCAGTTTGGAATGCGCTGATTTACATACAGCATTGGTTATCTATGGATACAACAAAATTCTCTCCATCTGATCCTTTTCTGACTTTCCAGAAACTGGTAGAGTCTTCAGTGCTAATACAGCCATTCCTTATTAAGGCAAACTTTCCCCCCCACCCAGACTTTTTTTCTTTTTTTGCTGCTGAGATGACCACATGCAATTACCTTCTGTCCATATCCAGATACATTCTTTCAGCCTCTGCAAATCTGCTAAAATAGGCTGCTACTTCTGCTTGCTTCATTGACTCGCTCTGCAGGTTGCCTAGACGCTTCACAAATTTAATACCTTGATAATCTTTGCAACGTACAAAAGCTTTTTCAGCAGTCTGCAGATCCAGCTTCTGAAGAGCAGCTTCAGCCAGGAGACGCCTGTGTGAAAAACAAACATAACAGATGGAAAATCAGCTATAAAGTAAATGAAATGAGGATCCATTTAACTAGTCATTATTTAAAGAAGACATTCAAGTAACTGCAATTGTATTGTTTACTAACTAATTTTAACTCAGTTGCATATTTGTCCTCAGTACATTCTGTGACCTATCCAGTAGTTGCTCAGTGAAAGATGTTCCAATAATTGCTAATATTCTTTTGTTCAGCTGTTCAAATGGACACTGGCCTGGGAGGAATGTGCAGGGTTTGAGTATTACAGTTGTCCTATGTGAAATGTGTTGCTGGTCTCAATGCAGCTTCATTTAGATATTTCTACCTACACATCCATCATAGCTTTAAGCCTTGATGGCAGCCCCAGTCTGAAGGCCTCCAACTAAATTGTCCATGAAGAATAATTTATCCTCTAATCCATCTGGACGTTCCTTGTCCTGTTAGGACAGCAGTCTGGGAGAGCAGGGTGAGTTTGGGAAACCTTGTAGTGGTACTACCCCATTGGTTAGTTCTGCAGATAGAGAATTTCTACCTTCAGGACAACCTACGTTCATCAGGTGCTTGAACAAGCAAAAATAAGGCAAGGTAAGTTTAGACTGCCTGACTGACGCTGTGAAACAAAGTGCAGTAGGGCACTGACAATACCAATAACATTACTGTTGTATTCAGTGACCTAAGGCATACTTGGACAGTATCAACTCAGTATTTTTGGGTTTTAAGCTCTTTGTCACCAAGGTTCAATACAAAATATATCAACAAATAAATACCCTCTCAACTTACGACCAATTTTAATTTTAGTTTAACCAACTTAAAGTTAGCTTTCTGACAGCTTTTTAATTTCCTTTAGATTTGCCCCTAAAAGCAAGGAGAACTGCATTTTGGGGCTCATACAGCAAAGAGCAACAACATGTCCTGAGCCTGTACCCTACACTCACTACCGTGACACACACAGCGTGCCTTCCATTCCAGGTACTGCAACATTCCCAGAATCAGAGTTCCAATTTAACAACAGTTCACTTTCTTGAGTTCAAGAGCTAGAAGCCTGGGGAACCACTGGCCCCAAGTTCCTTTTTAAGATGGCTGCTGAGGAGTCTTGAACACCTGCTCAGCATCTTCTGACACTTAAATTGTCAAATGCTCAGGAACAAAAACCTCACTTTCTTGCATTCTGGGAAATCATAACGCCACACAGCTTGAAACTGGCCAGACACACCAACTGCAAAAGACATGGGGAGCCAGGCTAGCAGGGGACTGCAAGGCTCTCTTTGGTCCTTCCCTCAATGTTTGTAAAACTACTTTGGAGGTGATTTATCACAATTAGAACAGCAGCCCTTCAGATTGCAGCTGAGCACTTATCTTTTTTTTTTTTTTTTTCCTCCTTTTT